GTCCTTAAATCCACAGTCCTCTGGATGGAGAGTGACTTATTCGTTAAGATTTTTTTCTTGTTTTCTCAGCCAGGTGCAGTGGCTCCCGCCTATAATCCCAACACTGAGGCAGGAGGATCACTTGAGCCCAGGAGTTTGAGACCAGCTTGGGCAACAGAGCAAGAGCTCATCTCTAGAAAAAAAAAAAAAAAAAAAATTAGCTGGGCTTGGTGCTGGATGCCTTTAGTCCCAGCTACTCAGGAGGCTGAGGTGGTAGGATCACTTGAGCCCATGAGTTGCAGGTGGCAGTGAGCTATGGAGCTATGTTCACGCCACTGCTCTTCGGCCTGGGAAACAGGTCGAGACCTAGTCTCTTAAAAAAAAAAGAAAAAGATTTTTCTTTACCTGTAAAAATGATTACGCAAAGTGTGTCCGTTTCTGTACCTTAGGAGGAAGAAAGCTGATCAAAGGAAGGGATCAAGAAAATAGCTAGACAGGCCGGGCACGGTGGCGGGCGCCTGTAATCCCAGCTACTCGGGAGGCTGAGGCACAAGAATCGCGTGAACCCAGGAGGCGGAGCTTGCAGTGAGCCGAGATTGCGCCACTGCACTCCAGCCTGGGCAACAGACCGAGACTCTGTCTCAAAAAAAAAAAAACAAACAAAAAAAAACCAAAACAAAACAAAAAAATAGCTAGACAACTGGACATTATACAAATTAAAACTTTTTGTGTTTCAAAGGACACAGAAAGGAAGTGAAATGACAGCTCACAGAATGGGAGGAAAGATTTGCAAACCAGTATCTAACAGAGTCTAGATCCACAATATATAAAGAACTCCCATAGCTCAATAATACAAAGACAAATAACCCAACTGAAAAATGGGCAAGTGATGGGAACAGACAATTCTCCAAAGAAACCTAAATGGCCAATAAACACCTGAAAAGGTGCTCAACATCATCAGTCATCATCAGTCATCAGGGAAATGCAAATCAAAACCACAAACAGACGCCACTTCTCGGAATGAAAGCCCTGGAAATTAATAAGTGTTGGTGAGGATGTGGACCAACTGAACTCTCCTGCCCTGCTTATACGCTGCTAAGTGGGACAGTGGAATGGTACAGCCACTGTGGGAAAGGCGAGAGTACCTCAAAAAGATAACCACAGAGTTATCAGGGGACCCAGAAATTCCACTGCTAGGTATACGAACCTAAGAGAAATGAGGCCAGGTGCGGCGGCTCATGCCTGTAACCCCAGCACTTTGGGAGGCTGAGGCGGGCAGATCACTTCAGATCAGGAGTTCAAGGCCAGCCTGGCCAAATCGGTGAAACCCCAACTCTACTAAAAATATAAAAATTAGCCAGGCATGGTCGTGCACGCCTGTAATCCCAGGTACTCAGGAGGCTGAGGCACAAGAATCTCTTGAATCCGGGAGGCAGAGGTTGCAGTGAGCCAAGATTGCCCCACTGAACTCCAGTCTGGGTGACCGATCAAGGCTCACTCTCAAAAAAAAAAAAAAAAAAAAAGATGAAAACATGCGTTTACACAAATTCTTGCACACAGATGTTCACAGCAGCGTTATTCATCACAGCCAAAAGGTAGAAAGAACCACGTCCATCAGCCGAGGACTGGGTGCGCATACGGCGTGCTTTCCATACACACAATGGAATATGACCTGGCACGAAAAGAAGCAAAGCAGGCAGGCCGGATGCAATGGCTCACGCCTGTAATCCCAGCACTTTGGGAGGCCGAGGCGGGTGGATTACCTGAGGTCGGGAGTTCAAGATCAGCCTGACCAACATGGTGAAACCCCGTCTCTACTAAAAATACAAAATTAGCCGGGCGTCGTGGCACATTCCTGTAATCCCAGCTACTCGGGAAGCCGAGGCAGGAGAATCCCTTGAACACGGGAGGCGGAGGTTGCAGTGAGCTGAGATCACGCCATTGCACTCTAGCCTGGGTGACAAGAGTGAAACTCCGTCTCAAAATAAATAAATAAATAAATAAAATAAAATAGCGAAGCAGTGGTAAAAGCGAAGCAGGGGTATGTGCTCCTCCCCGAGTGGACCTCAAGAGCACTGCACTGAGTGAGAGAAGCCAGGCATGAAGGGCCACCCGCTGTACTTCCATTGATAACGGAATGTCCAGAACAGGCACATCCACAGACAGAAAGCTGTCTGTGGTCACTGCCAGGGTTGGGGAAAGGGTATGAGGAGGGGCTGCTAAAGCTTTCTGGCTGGGGTAATGAAAATCTCCTGGATACCGGGCACGGGGGCTCACGCCTGGAATCCCAGCACTTTGGGAGGCCGAGGTGGGTGGACCACCTGAGGTCAGGAGTTCGAGACCAGCCTGGCCAACGTGGTGAAACCCCATCTCTACTAAAAATACAAGGATTGGACAGGCGTGGTGATGTGTGCCTGTCATCCCAGCTACTTGGAGGCTGAGGCAGGAGAATCACTTGAACCCGGGAGGCGGAGGTTGCAGTGAGATGAGGTCACACCACTGCACTCCAGCCTGGGAAACAAGAGTGAAACTACGTCTTAAAAGAAAAAAAAAAAAATCCAGGGGGACCATTTGGATGCTGGTGAAATCAATGTCTCTAGTAACAGACTCTCTCATGGGATCAAAGCTAGTGACCAATTATGGATTTAATGTATCATTAAAGTCATTTTCTTTTTTTTTTGAGACGGGGTCTTACTCTGTTACCCAGGCTGAAATGCAGTGACATAGTCTTGGCTCACTGCAACTTCCGCCTCCGGGCTCACACGATTCTCATGCCTCAATCTCCCAAGTAGCTGGTACTACAGGCACCTGCCACCACGCCCAGCTAATTTTTTGTATTTTTGGTAGAGACAGGGTTTCACCATGTTGCCCAGGTTGGTCTTGAACTCCTGAACACAAGCAATCCCCCTGCCTCGGCCTCCCAAAGTGCTGGGATTACAGGGTGAGCCACTGTGCCCAGGCTAGTGTCATTGAATTTAACGTGGCCACGCCGTCCAGAAGGGCCGGGGTAGGGCAGGGGGCTGAACAACCCAGTGACCCTGAAGGCAGGGGCTTGAGCTCCAGCTCTGTTCATTATTAGCCCTGTGACCTCAGCAACCTACGTCAACCGCTGTGCCTCAGTCTCCCTCGCCGGTAAAATGGAGATAACAAGGCATCCACTCCTCAGGGCTGCAGTGAAGAGTGGATGAGTGTTTTTTAAACTTACTTTTAAAAAACGTTAACACATATTAATAGAGAAGGGGTCTTGTCATGTTGGTCTCAAACTCCTGGCCTCTGGCGATCCCCCAACCTTGGCTTCCCAACGTGCTGAGATTACAGGCATGAGCCACTGCTCCAGGCCACGGACGGGTTTGGCGTGGAAAACTCCTGGTCTAAGGCCGGCACAGAGCAAGGCTTCAGTAAAAAGACTCTGCTCTTATTCCTTAAACCTTCTAGCACTTAATTCTCAACTGGCTAAAAAGAAGTTGCTCCAAATAACCTAACTGCCCAGGGGCTCAAAGTCTAACACAGCCCCTGATTTTTACCCATTTCTTGGGTAGAATCCCGGGGCTGGCGAGGGGAGCCTGGGGCCCAGGGCAGCTTCTCTGTGCATCCACCCCCAGCACACACTCCTGGGGAGGCCGTGTGCTCTGCATCAGCCCTGTGGAGAGGCAGCAGCAAGAATAGCCAATTATCAATGCTGTTTATGCCAAGGACGGGCAGGGGAGAGGGGTGTCCAAAGCCGGGGACTGTGCCTGCCGCTGGATTCGTGAATTTAAAAGTATCTCCTTTTGTTGTTGTTTAAATACCCAGCTGGCCGGGCATGGTGGCTCACATCTGTAATTCTAACACTTTGAGAGACCAGAGGTGGGAGGATGGCTTGAGCCCAGGAGTTCGAGATCAGCCTGGGTAGTAAGACTCCCATCTCTGCAAAAAATAAAAAATCAGCCGGGTGTAGTGGTACACACCTGTGGTCTCAGCCACTCAGGACACTGAGGTGTGAGGGTTGCTTCTGCTCAGAAGGCAGAGGCTGCAGTGAGCTGAGATTGCACCACCACACTCCAGCCTGGGCAAGAGCAGGACCCTGTCTCAAGAACCAAACCAAATCCCCCGGCAGATCCTTTAGGCTCCTGTTTCCTGAAGCAGAGGCTCATCGGGAAAATGAGCTCCTGGAGCCCCACCCAGGGGTGGGCCAGATGAGCCAGAGAAAAGCAGGACACCCTGAACAAGTGGCATGTATTGGGCCTCAGTTTACCCACATGTCAGGGCCCCTTCAGTGTTGCCACACAGGGTGGAGGGGGCGCCTGCGTATGAAAGTCTGGCCGCTCCACTGACTCTTCCCCTGAATAACAAGGGGAAGGATGACTGCCTATTTTGCCAGCATTCTTTTGACACAGGGACAAGGTAACAGGGTCAGGGCCAAAGGAAACAGCACAGAGCTGGGAACCGCCTCCTTGGAGCAGCTGTGTGATCCGGGGCGAGCCTCTTGACCTCTCTGAGCTTTGGCCTCCACTACAAATGGCAACCCTGGACTCCCTTGAAGCTCCTGCCACCTGGCTCGGGGCAGCAGCTCAGTGGGTGTGCGTCCAGCCTGCTGCTTCGCAATCCTCATTTCCCGGCTATTCACAGGAAACGAGGGGCGTCTGGCAGGGCTGGAATTGCTTTTCCGGGAATGACACTCCCATCATTAGGCAGGTGGGTCCTTCCTCTTTAACAGAATAAATATCCTTCGTGATGCTCAGCACCAGTGGGGACCGTCGGCGTCATCTCCAGCAGCTGTCCAAGTCCCACCCCGCTTCCCCTTGAAGACCTTTCCCTGCGGGGGGTGGGGGCGGAGGGCCACCAGGCCTGAAGTGGTTTGTGGAGGTCCTGGCCCCGTGGCCACTGCTAACTTGGACCTCACTCTCCTGTGGACAGACGGCCTCTGGGGGAGGAAGCCCAGGCATGGCTGATGGGTCAAGGGCCTGGCTGGGGCCTCCGACTCTGGGCCTGGCCTTCCCTGCCACTCAAGGACCCTGGCCCAAGGCGGGACAGACACTCACCGGACACCCTCGTTGAGGCTGAAGAGCTCCTGGTCGGGCAGCCCCTTGCGCTGGAAGACGGCAATCACCCCGTTGTGGATGCTGTGGGCAGAGGGAAAAGAACACTGCAGTCCCGAGGTCTGAGAGCCCCCTGGTTGCCCATCAGGCCCCCTTCCTCTTTCCCTCTCTCTTAGAAGGGCAGGATCGCCGTCCCTGCAGGACCCTGCTCATACCCACTTCAACTCCAAGGCCCTGCAACCCTGGCCCAGCCCTGCTGGAGCCCAGCCTGTATCACCAGGTGCCCTCTGGTCACCGCCCCAGGACCTTGCTCCCATGTCCTCTGCACACTATGTGGCCAAACCTCAGCCAGCTCTGCCTCCTTTCTCGGTTCTTAACCCCACCCTGCCCAGGCCAGAAACCAGGAAACCCCTGCGCCTCTCCCACCCCCAAAAACATCCAAGTCCTGTGGACTGTTGCCCCTTCTCTACCTGCACGGCCACCCCGAGTTCAGGAGCATCACTGCATCCCTAGCCAGCTGCGGGGCTCCTGACCCCCTCATGCTTCCTGCCCCTGTTTATAAAACTCTCTAAGGTAGCCGGGTGCGGTGGCTCACGCCTGTAATCCCAGCACTTTGGGAGGCCGAGGTGGTGGATCACAAGGTCAGGAGATCGAGACCATCGTGACTAACATGGATAAACCCCGTCTCTACCAAAAATACAAAAAATTAGCAGGGTGGGATGGCGGGTGTCTGTGGTCCCAGCTTCTCGGGAGGCTGAGGCAGGAGAATGGCGGGAACCCGGGAGGCGGAGCTTGCAGTGAGCCGAGATACCACCACTGCACTCCAGCCTGGGCGACAGAGCGAGACTCCGTCTCAAAAAAAACAAAACAAAACAAAACAAAACTAAACTGAACTCTCTAAGGCAGGCGCTGGCAAACATTTTCTGTGAAGGGATAGAAAGCAAATCTTTTAGGCTTCATGGGTCACCAGCCTCTGTTACAACTGCTCAACGTGACTGTTATGATGTGAAGGTAGCTGTGGCAGCAGGGCGCAGTGGTTCACGCCTGTAATCCCAACACTCTGGGAGGCCAAGGCAGGAGGATTGCTTGAGGATGGGAGGTCAAGACCAGCCTGGGCAACACAGCGAGATCCTGCCTCTACACAAACCGAAAACAGGCCAGGTGCGGTGGCTCACTCCTGTGATCCCAGCACTCTGGGAGGCCAAGATGGGCGGATCACCTGAGGACAGGTGTTTGAGACCAGCCTGACCAACATGACGAAACCTTGTCTCTACTAAAAATATAAAAATTAGGCTGAGCAGGGTGGCTCATGCCTGTAATCCCAGCACTTTGGGAGGCTGAGGAGGTCGAATCACCTGAGGTTGGGAAGTCCGGCCCATTCCTACCTCCTAGAGCTCTCCCCGCGCCCCTTCCCGGCTTGCCTGGACCTCGGATGACACGAGCCGGCCTCCCACCTCTCCACCACATCCACCCTCTGCGAAGGCCGAAGTTCCTACCCTGCCCAGGGCTTTGTGAGGCAGCCACTGCCCGGCAGGCACAGCCTGAGGTCCTGCAGGCAGCATCCAGGGTCCTCCTGACATGGCCCCTCCCCACACTCCCAGGCATCCTGATCTCTGACCCCAGGCAGTGTAGGACCCTCTGGGCGGCACCACATCTCTGGGTCTCAGTACCCACTGCCCCTCCTGTCTGGAAGGCCCTTCTCGTCCCTATCCATGAGGCAAGCAGCTATTCATCTTGATTCAGAGGCTACCACCTTCGAGAAGCCCTCTGACCCCTGACCCTTTCCTTCCCAGTGCTAACTCTCCACCAGCACTTTGCTGATTCACTTTCCTGGTCACGAGTGCCCGCTGCTGGCTGCGAGGTCCTCAAGGTGAGAACCAGGTCTGGGTACAACAGCCACCTCCCACCCAGGACCTGGCTGCAGCTCTAAGGCTCCTATGGCAGACCAGCACCACACTTCTCACCTTGGAGGGGACAGCTGTCCACAGGATGCTGCCCACACCACAAAGCAGGCAGCCGCCACCACGCTCCTAACGTCCTCCCCTGCTTTAACTCTACCCTTGCCTGTGACTTGGCCACCCATTTTGCAGATGAGAAAACCAAGGCCCAAGTGGCTAAGTCCTCTGCCGGAAGTCACAGAGCAGCCGGCATCTTGGACCCCTGTGCACCCGAACTCCCCTGTGCTCCTTCTCCCAGACAGCGTCCCCACAGGGAGCCAGGGCTGGGCAGGGCTTCCTGTCTCCCTGTCCTCTCAGGTGCGGGGCACTCACAGGCCTCATATTCCACATGCTTCCAGGAGGCTCTGAGCAGCTTGGGGGCTGTGCCAGGTTCCACAGCTGGTGCTTGGCCTGGCCCGGCTGCAGGCTGAGACCCAGCTCTGCCCAGGGCTTCATCAGCTTCTCAGTGGGCACCGGCCGAGATCACGCTGGATACGCATCCCTGGCCTGGGATGCCCGACTGCACCGGAATGCTCCTTAGTCCCCTGTCTGGCAACACGGGCTCTCTACCTTTGTTTACTGTCTGTAAGTCGGGAATCGTAAGAGTGTCACCCCCAGTGAGTTTGAAAGATGAGCCAGCCCAGGGGAGAGGCTGGTGGCTGGTCCTCCCCTCATGGCTGGGATGATGCTCCCCTGCGAGAAGCCCTGGGGTGGCCCCAGCCCCACAACGATGTCACAGTAGAGCTGCCCCCGCCCCCACTTGCAGACTAAAAAAAGTTGAAAATCCCAAGGGAAGTCTGCTAGGAAACCAGCTGTCCCCCAACAGCAGCCACCCTGCAATCCTGGCAGCTGCAGACGCCCTCCAGCCCTGTGGCAGCTGCTGGGGTGGGTTGGAGGCGGTGGAACCCTGCATTGACTGGGAGGGCCTCTGGGATATGGCGGGCGGAGGTACTCCTAGCCACTGTCTCCAGACCCTGGATGGAGGTTCAGGGGCGCCTTCCAAGTTCTCTCCTGGAGCCCAGGCCTCCCTTACAGTGCATGGTGGAGCCACTGCTGGACCCAATTCAGGCAGAGGAGACAGTGCAGTGGTGTCGCCAGGGCTGCCAAGGCTCACAGCGGGTCCCAGGCTTCAGCCCTGCTGTCCTCAGTGACCTGCCCTGAGCAGCCTGTCCTTCCTTCCTGTTCATTAAACCTCCTGGGGGCCTCCAGCCCACGCTCGTCGCCCTGCCAGAGGTGACCCTACACCATGGGGCCTCTGGAAGAAGGTCTCCCTCTGACCTGCGGCCCTCTTGGGGTCTGGTGTCACTCACACAGCCCTCCTCACTATCCCATTGAGGCCCCAGGCTGGAGCTGCTGTGGCTTCTTCCCGCGCCGGGCCTCTGTCCCACTGTTCCCTCTGCCTGGGGCTTGCCCTCCACCTGCCCTTGCTTGCAGCTGTGTGGGAGAGCTAGCTACTTTGACCATGGTCTTCTTTTTAGGGGAGGAAGGCTCTACGTGGCTCACGGTTAGACCTCCCGACGCCCCACCTAGCCTCACACTCTGGCTGCACAGAGCAAAGCCCAGCAAGCACCTGCCCGAGAACACCTGCCCGCAAATGCCGTGGCGCGCCCTTCCCCACCCAGGGGCCTGAGCCTCTCCTGGGCTCCTTGCCCTGGACGTTCTCCCATCCACACTCCCCACCCCTGCCTCCTCCCTCCGAGGACCTTGAACTTCCTCCCATCCCCAGGTTGGTCCAAGGTGCAGGCCTGGGTTTGAATCCCAGCACTACACTTACAGGCTGGGTAACTCGGCCAAGTTACCACCTAACCACTCAGTGGTTCAGGGTCCCCAGCAGGAAAATGGACTTCTCAGTACAGTGCCACCGCCCGGGTTGCTGTAAGGTCAGCATGCCATGCCCTGCCCTGCCCTGCCCTGCAGCCTTTTCTGTGAAGCTATAGGGTGGGGCTTGCATCTACCACTCCTTGGCCACACCCGGCCTGGGCCCACCTACTCTGTGGCTTCTCAGTCCTCTAACCACCAGGCCCCAGGTTACAGGAGAAGACAGAGTCACACAGCCTGGCACCCGCAGAGGCCCCTCCCCCACCCCCAGGCCGCTCAGGACCTCTGCTCCTCTCCACCCCCACCCAAACCCTTGGAGTCGGTGGGGGAAGGGTGTTTGGTAAACGAGAAAGCCTCCGCTGCGGGCCACTCAGGGATAGAGGAAGGGCGGGGAGGGTGGGAGGGTCTCACGTGACCTGTCATCTCCCAAAACAGAAACGAAACCCCAGCTGCCCCTCCGGGCCCAACAGACAGGCCCAGTTGGTGCAGGTGTAAATGTCCCCTGGAAACCACAGGGGACACTGCCATGGCTTCTGGGTGAGGGCTCGAGTGGAAACGGCCCATGACCTCCCTTGTCCAGATGTGGACGGCCTCCTCTAGGAAGCCCCCCAGCCCCAGCAGGCAGTGCCCTCCCAGGGCAGGGCCTCACACCCCAGGAGGGTAAGTCCTCCTGAGGCCAAGTCCCAGCAGGGGGGCCAGCCCCTCCTGAGCGCTGGGCGGGTGCAGGTGAGGGAGAGAAGGGCACGACCCTTCGGGAGGCTCCATGGTGCCTGGCAGTTCTGAGATCTGCTGCCGCTGGGGCTTGGGCTGAAGAAGGGCTGAGGCCCTGGGGCTGATGTGAGGGCACCTGCCTGTGGCCACCCTGGCTGGGGCTACCCTAGGGCTGTATGGGGGCACCTAGGCTCACTCAGCAAAGCTGGGCTCCGCCCCGTCTGTCCAGAACAGGCCGTGGAGGGGGACGGTGCCGTGCCCGTGGCTCCCCTTGGCTGCCTGCCCATCCTCAGACCCCTCTGCCTCACATCCCACTTCCACCCTCCGCCTCCCCAGCACGAGGCAGGGTGGGGAGGGGTGCGGGTGGGGGGTCAGAGCGGCGTACCACCGCGCACGCAAGGGAAGAAGAGTCGCTCAGTGTGTGGGTTTCCACAGCTGCCGTAACAAATCACCCCTAACTTGGTGGCTGAAAACAACTCAAATTTGTTCCCCTGTGGTTCTGAGGTCAGAAGTTCTTTTTTTCTGTTTTTTTTTGAGATGGAGTCTCGTTCTGTCGCCCAGACTGAGTGCAGTGGTGCAAATCGGTACAATCTCAGCTCACGGCAACCTCCGCCTCCC